CACCGCGCTGCTCTTGGTGAGTTGTAGACTTACAATAAAAAGAGGAACATTTTCCTCCTGAACCTCGAGATCGTTCCTTTTCGCGAAGTCGCAGAATCTTCGCATGATGGGCGCCCTTTGTTCCCATGCCGAATGGGTCCATATGCCCTTGGCTATGCGATTCGCCCCGGGCGCCAGCGCTGTGACATATGGGTTGTGTGACGGTGCCGCAATTCCTGTAAACCCGTTTGCTGGGGTCTTTAAGGGCGGAAGAACCTGTCTTACCTGAACCCTCCCGAGCGGGAGGCGCCCGTGGGGGCCCGGCATGGTGAAATGGCGTGCTGGCCCCCTCCTGCGGCGAAACGCCCTCTTCCCGGTTGCCCGGCAGTGCCCGAAGCACCCGGTAAAGATTCCAATGCTTTCCCGGCCCCGGGGCTCACTGCTTCCGGGGCCGATAATCGTTTTTGGCTTAAACGGGGTCTTTTCCCACCTGCACATAGCAAGTTGTGCTGTGGTGCCGTGTGCGTCCGCATCGAAAACAACGCGTATAGCTCGGAGGGGTGGCGGAATGTTTCTTCGGTTTCTGGGCGGCCTTAAAAACCAGGTCGACCTCTTTTCTGGGATCCCCGATAGCATTGACAAGAGTTTGGTTATTTTTTTTTTTTCCTCGTGTCTTCATCACTCTCGTCGATGGCTCCGCTCCATTGGCCACCATCGTAGAGCACGTTCGTTATTGCTTAATTTCTATGTGAAAGGAGGTCCCTTTGTTTTGTTATGTATTTTGTTATTTTTGGTGTTTTTCTGTTTTTGTTTTGTTGTTTTTGGTATTTTGATCTCTGTTTCGCTGTGCCGGTCCATTGAGGAAACATGCGCTGGAGGATCGGTCGGCTCAGTGCTCTCAACTGGGCCGGGAAAGCCTACTTGCCCCATTGGCCGTAGCTCTCTCAGGGGGGAAGCACATTCTGCGTGAGATCAACAAAAATATAGAGGGGAGATGAAGCTGAGAGGGGGAGAGAGGACTATTCCTGGACCTCTATGGGTGGCGTCGGTTCTGTCGGGGAAGGCCGTTGAGGACAAAACCTTTCCACTGCAAGCAGGTATTTAGCCAACTTCTGCATGAAGCACATCTTCTCCATGTCGCCCCCATCCACCCCAAAGTGACAGCGTAGACTCTTTAATGCGGGACAGCTCAATAGGTGCATGCTCGTCTCTTCGCACTGTCCACGTTGGCTTGGTTTCGCAATGTTCGGCCTGAATCCGTGGCTGACTATGCGGTGCCTAGTGAGTCCGTGTTTGCTGTGGCACTGGAAGCCGCACGTGGGGCACGAGAAGGCAGAAAGAGGCAAGTCATCAGAAGCATCCTCATGGAGCCGCCGGCGTTTTACCGTTACAGGAACCCCGCGGCCCTCATGACATCTTCTGCAGTGCGGTCGAACGGATTCAAGAGAAGCGAACCATTTCAAACACACCAAGCATTGTATCTCTCTCCGCCGCTCGGGCGGTAGGGGGGCGGCTCCCTCGTTCTTTGGCTGGTCGTCGGTCGGAGAGGAAGCCTCTGTTCTCGTACGCTTTTTAAGATGGGGCAATTCTGCTTCATCTTTTTCCTGCTTTATAGGAGTGGCGTGCACGGTAGGGGAGTCCTCTCTCTCTCTCTTGGGGAGTTTTGGTGTGCTTGTGTTTGGGTCTTGTGCTCTAGTATTCTGTTCGCCGGGGTGCTTGTATTTCATGTGGCTTGCCAGTCCTCCAGCGTTGCCCATGGGTCTGAGACATATTGGGCAATATAATGTGGGCCGTGGTTTCACTGCTCGTGGCGGGTCTTGTGGGGAGCGATGCTTGGCACGAATGTGGGATAAGAGCCCCGTCTTACTTAGGGCTCCGAACCCACAGTGGTCGCATTGAAAAGGCAAGGTTTTGGCCTTCTCTTCCATCTCCCGTGCTCGTTTACGTTCTGCGTTTTGGTATTGCTGGGGGTGGAAGTAGCGAAGGTGCCTTGTTAGCCCCACCTGTCCTTTAAACGACGCCGCGCATAGGTTGCAAGCAAACTCTTCTCGACGCTTCTTGACGATCGGGTTGAGATCGCTCGTTGTGTCCAGTGCAGTGCGTTTGGGCCTTGGTGCTGGGGGAGGGGGTTCTGGCGGGATGTCCGGCGGCTCCTCAGCTGTGGGATGCTTGACTTTCCAGAGTGCGCGGGCACGTGTGAATCCATGTTTGTTGACCATGTGAACCACAGCGCTTGACCGACAGCCATAGCGGGCTTGACATACCGGGCGGTTGGCCGGATCACGGAAACGCAAAGGCGCTGCCCCTTTGTTTTATGCAGGCGATTCTATTCGAGGCTTAGGAGTGGGATTATAATCCCGTGTCTCCAGCTCTTTGAAACGACGCCAGTGCGTAAGCTCTTGTTGAAGAACGTTAGGGTAGAGTGTTTCGCACCTCCCCCAAGGTGCCGTAGTGCCTCCCCATGTGTCATGTCGGGTCCCGGTGCTGATCCTATCGGTAGAAGGCGCAGTGCGGGATTGGGTTCAGCCATTGTTATTGGCTGGAAGTCCTCATCCTTGTTTTGGTTGGGGGTGGGGGGTAGGATCGCGAGTGCCTTCGCGCTATTGCAGCGTACATGCGGGCCAGGTGGTTGGCCTTTTGGTGGTGTGAAAGCACAACCCCATCTGCTTTGACGGCGGGCGTGCTGAGGGGGCGGGGGGCGTATACACGCTTTATGATCTGCCAGCTGTTTCCGTTGGAGGCCTCAAGGTTTGAGCAGAGCGCACGCCACCGGGTAGTGGCAGCTGCGCGAAGAAGTTCTCTGCGTCGAATCTTGAGCCGCTGAGTGGATTGGGCGTGGGGCTTGCTAGCAATTGCTTTATCCAAGTCGGCCAGCTCAGGGGTCCAGAACGGGGACTGGCGTCGATTGCCCTCCGGCACTGCTGCCTTTGTGGCAAGCCGTATGCCAGATGCGATGTGCTTCTCTATGGTGTCTATGCGATTCATGCCTCGTTTGAGCCTGCAGTGTGAGTTGGTCAGTTTGCGGAACTTCGACCAGTTTGCCTTCTTCCATGTAAGCAGGGTCTTGTAGATCCGCGGCACTTCTAGCGGAGTGTCATCCTCCCCCACCTGGACAGTATAAGTGATGATGTAGTGGTCGCTGTCCGGGGTTGGTCGCGCTGCCCAATCTGTCACTGCGCAGCCTTTGGCCAGTGTTACATCTGGCGCGGAGCCTCTGTGCCTCTCGGTGTACCGTGTCCTATTTCCAGTGTTGGCAATGAGGAACTCATTGTCAATGCACCATTGCACGATGACACCACCTCGAGGGTCAGGCGGGACTTCGTTGTCCGATGCCAATGCGTGTGCATTGACGTCAGCACCTATGAGCTGTGGCCCGTCCGTGTTGTTGAGTCTCTCGAGGTTCTCTGGAGTAATCTTGGTGTCTGCAGGAGAAAGGTACGCTGATGAAATCGTAAGCTTCATACCTGCATCCAGATGGATGGTTACTTGTGCAAGCCCAATGCCTACCACAAGCGCCGGTCATGTCTCTACCTGCATCCCATCCCTGGTGAGGATTGATGCGCCTCCACCACGACAGGTGCGAGCTATCCCATAATGTTGGAACCCAGGGTGCCCAAAACTAGCTGCTTCAGGGGGGGGGGCATTTTTGCTTCACTCAGTAAGCACAACATGATGTTATCACCGTAGAGCTGCTTACCCAAGGCTAGGCGTTTCGACTGTTTTAGCCCAGCTGAGTTCCATTGCGTGCCCCTCAATGTAGGGCCGGGATTCTCTTCCACATTTCCACTAAGCAGTAACTTTGTGCGGATGATACTGCTGACGGCACGGCGCAATGCACCCCAAGACCGACAAGGATAACACTGCGTCCAAGCAAGACGCGGCGGGCCCTGGTACTTCGTGATGCCGTAAGCCTGGCGCCGCACTGTTCTCCAAGTGGTGGGTTTTTCTCGCACTTGGTTCCCCCCCGTGGTGCGGTTACCGGGCTCTTGTGGTGCGGGGGGCGGTTGTCATCACCAAGAGGATTGGAAAAAGGGAAAGTAATGCTGTGGCCTTTGGCAAAGGAGAGGGGAAAATAATGCCCAGCCTCTATTCTAGGTCAAATCGCTTTTTGACCCTCACAACCCAAAAGAGAAACCAGGCATACACTTGGAGATGCAGTCGCCCTGGCAAGAAGAGAATGCAGTTCCCGTTTCCGCCCATGGGATCAGAAAAGAGTTGATTCTAATCTTTAGGATCACTTTAGCCCGGTGCAGTATGTAATGCGGCACCTCTTGTTGAGAACAATTTAACGAGAATATAGTTTACAAAAAGGCAAACGGTCATGGAAGATTTATTAAGCATTCTGGCATAAGTGCCCGAACTGTGCGACGCATAAACTGCATGTTTGCTAGTTCTTTTTGCCACCTGAGAGTGCAAACCATCAGGGTGCAAGTGAAGCTTTATCCCACCCCCAAAAGTTAAAAAACATAAGCGAATGTGGCACAATCTATGGCCTTACCGCGTCACTTTTCAGAGCGCCCGAACCAAAGTGTGTGGCGAAGCCGCGGCCTTACTTTACTTCAACGTTTCTTTTTTTTTCCACGCGGTTTTTTCACAACATCCAGGCCCGAGCTTCCAGTAAGGAGCAAAATAGGTAAACGCGTTTGGTTCTGTACGGCCTACGGCGGGCTATAAAAGCGGCGGCGAAACCCCCAACACCATTCCACGGATCGTGGTGGCCCATCCCGGAATTTTGCAACTGTACTTTTCGTAACCTTCTACATTTTAACTTAAATTTTATATGGGTAACATTTTTATTTTAGTTCCTCGGAGAAACCCCTCCCATGCCACACTTAATTCGGAGGAAAGCGCCGCGAGGTGCGCGTTCCTGGCACTGTGGCGAAAGCCGAAATGCAACCTACAGGCGCCAGTGGCGTACTGAA